CGAGAGGAGAATGGAGGAGAAGGGATTGCGGCGTGACCATCCCCCCTGGGGGGTGATTTCTCGCTTTCTGTCTCTATGTCTCTCTCTCTGTCTTTCTGGCAAGCGCACGCGCCCTATAGCAAAAACCTCTCCAAAAAAAAAAAAAAAAGAACAAATGAGAACATGGACGGGAACAATGTTTGAAAATGATCATGGAATGTCCAAATGTAGAGTGTGGGTATTGGGTATTTATGTGCCCAGCCTAAAGGCTTGCCATCCTATTGGGGAGGCGAGACAGGGCTATGGGAAATAATTAGAGAAAATGCAAGAATGGGAAGTGATTCCGCTCTAGCTCATTGGGAGCAAGACCCTAAATATATAGTGACAAGGCTAAGTGCCCCCAGGGCAGTCAGGGACTGAGCGGTGACTTCCTGGTGGTGAGACAGGTGGACTTTCTCCAACTCCTCTCATTCCTTCTCTGTCTCAGTGCCCCACTACTGTGTCTCCCCAGTCTCCCCGGGGATCCACGACCTCTCTCTGACCCAGCAACTAAGCCTTCTCTCTCTAATACAACCCCAACCCCCCACTCTCTCCTGCTGGGACTCTCCCAGTCACAGTGGAGGCCTGTTTCTCTAGGAGCGCTACTGCCTGGCCCTTGGGGAGGAGGAGCTGGGGAGTCTGCGGCTCTTCTGTGCTCAGCGGAAGCAGGAGGCCCTGGGACAGGGAGTGGCCTGCCTGATACCTCCCAGGCTAGAAGGACACCCCTGTGAGAAGGTATGCAGTTCCTCCCCCCCCCCAGGGATCCCCACCCTGACTCTCTACCCTCTCACTTCTGCAAAAGGGACTGGCTTTTGGGACTGTGTTGGGGAAACGAGGTTTAGGGATTGGCAATCTGGCAAATGTTAGGAAAAAGGGAAACCGAGTTGGGAGTTCTGGGTGGAGGCTGCAACGGAGGTGGGCTTGCCAGGGTGTGGGGAGAACAGTGAGGTTGGGGTTGGGATGGAAGAGCAGGAGAGAAGGTAGGAGAGTAGGGCTGATTCTGACCAGCTGAGCGTCTGCCTGGCAGTGCAAGGAGCGGCTGAAGCCAGGGGACTACGGAGTGCTCGCAGCCCGGGCAGGAGAGTGGCGCTGCTGGCACCGGCCTTGCTTCGCCTGCCAGGCCTGTGGCCAGACTCTGATAAACCTCATCTACTTCTACCACGATGGACGTCTCTACTGTGGCCGTCACCATGCTGAACTGCTGCGACCCCGCTGCCCGGCTTGTGACCAGGTACAGCCCAGGGTCCGGAGTGGCAGGATATAAGGGCACACCTCCCTGAGTTGCAGCTTTTCTCATTATTCTGGTGGAGAGGACTGGGGAGAACTAGGAACCAGCAGAGACACCCTGTTGCGTGTTCTGACTTCAGCTCTGGGCATGTGGAACCTGCTGCCCTTTTCTGTCCTGCAAGCAGGGTTCAAGGTTTTTTGGACTCGGAAATTCTCTGGGGCAGGGGCAGGGGCAGGGACTCTTGGACAGATGTTCATCCCAGTATTCTGCGTGACCAGTGCTGTGCCTGGTCATGCTAGAAACTCCCTTAACATCCACGTCAGAGGCAGCTGAACCCTGGTTGAGAGTTCGGGGAACCTAGGAGTTCTGTGTCACCTGCTAGCTGGACAGCCAATCAGCTGTACCTGCGACACAGAGTGGCTGAATAGAGCAAATGGGAATGTCTGTAGACGTGCTTTAGCATTAACTGGGTGTAAGGCGTGGTTACTGGATGAATGAATGAATGAATGAATGAACTCTTCCCATCTCCCTCTCCCAGCTGATCTTCTCCCAGCGCTGCACCGAGGCTGAGGGACGGCGCTGGCACGAAAACCACTTCTGCTGCCAGGACTGCGCGCGGCCCCTGGGCGGGGGACGTTATGCTCTGAACAGGGGCAACCCCTGCTGCCCCAGCTGCTTCGAGAGCCGCTACTCAGTTGGGGGTCCAGGCCCGGCCTGGGCACTGGAAGGGAGGGCGTCCCTTGGTAAGGGAGAAGGTGCAAATTAAAGTAGGAGAATGTGGCCGCTTGGGCTGGCTGTTGAGGGGGTTCTTTCGGGCTGGGACCCGCACCCGGCCCGTCGTCCCATCCCGTCCCTCCAGCAGCGCCCCCGTTCCGCCACCGCAACACGCCCCGCAGA